GCAATCACAGCTAGTAACACAGTTGTGCTCAATGAATGGCACGAATCAAAGCCATTCATTGTTTACCATTGTCATGTGATCTGCTGTGATCGGTTACAGAGATCACATGGTACCAGCAGTGGGGAAGGCCGGTGCAGGAATTGGTTAATGAGTTGAGAACCATCACACAGTAAATTGTGTGAATATTAACTACAATTATCAAATCATGTGCAAATAAAGTAAGTAAATATGAATTTGCTTTTAATTTGCTTGAAGTAAATTGTCACACATTCTATTGTATGAAGATTCTCAGCTCCCTTATTACTTCAACCTCCCGGTGTTGCATTCTGAAAGAGTCCATTTAATTAAATGTAATTACAAGTGTATACGGCCAAAATGCATCACAGAGTACTTTTTTCTGACACACTGCAGCATACTGTATTGGTGGGAATAGGTTCTGTTGATTTAAAGACTTGTAATAGTATACCATCATAAATAAATTACTATGCTGATGTTTCAATGCCACTAAAACACAAAAGGCAGGAAAATAGGAATGGGTCCTTAATGTGAGTAATTAGGTCACTGAAGATAGGGGTTCTGAGGATAAAAGAATGCAGATTTATATGCAAGAGAATTATCTTATACAAGTGATAGATGAAAAAATTGAGGGAATACTGTAAGATCTGCTGACTTCTAATAAATCGAGTAATGGGTCCAAGTGAGCATATTATCATAATTGTTTGAGCTGGAATCTTTAACTACTAAAAACAACACCGTTTCCAGAATATTAATTTCAACAGTGCTTGAAATTCAGAAGCAGGAAGAAGACTGGACACCTGCGCAGAAGATTTCTACAGCATCCAGATCCCTGCACAAAGTGGGCATACTTTATTATAAGTCATTAGAGCCATAAAGATTTATTTGGCTAAACATCAGCTTTAAAGAATATGTAAATGCAACGTTTCATATTTCTAATATGTGCCTGCTGCACTGTGTACTTGTATTAAAAATTATCCTGTTCTCTTTCTATCGCTTCCTTTCTGTGAAATCCCTGGTGTTCCAGCCATTTTCCCTCCTTTCCTATTGAAAACTGACTATACTAGGCATGAGAGTAAAATGTGGTAATTTCTCTAGCTGCGCTAGGAACTTACTCTGGAAATTCTGAAGGACCCTCTGCACACTGGTATATACCCTTTCAAGCAAACTATGCAATAAATAGGGATATTTAGTTCACACATATTGCAATACATGCTTAAGCTGGCCAACTGCGTCAAAGTAATCCCTCTATGGCCAGTCCTACTCTGCTCTGCCCTGCTACTTACTCTGGTCTCCTCCAATGATCCCTTGTCCTGACACTCCCCCAACCCCCCCCCCCCCCCACACACACACACAGAACCTATCACTGGGAAGATCAGTGTACTTCTCTTTCTCTTCCCCCAGCACTTATACAACCAAGAACAGAGGGAATGTGGTCACTTATAAAAAGTGGTATTTATAATTTTTTTTTAAATATCTATACACAAATATTTTGACTTTCATTTCTAATTTAAACTGAGTGGTTTGTTTTACAAGGTGAGGATTTGCAATCATTTGAATGCATTTATTGTTTCAGTTTGCCTGTGCACATTTCCGTACCCAAACACTTTGGGTAAAGTTTTGGACATAGTAATGTGTACATGCAAACTGGGCAACTCAGCCAAGCCCAGAATGAATGGAAATCACTCTAAAGTGGGAGGGATTTCCTTCCTTAGACAGTTGTGTGCAGAACATTTGTCCCCAATGGAAGATTTACTTTCACCTCTGGTCTCACAACTCTACAATTTTGGATTCCAGTATATTTTCTGTCTTGGTGACAATTTTCACTAGGACAAATAGGGGCTGAATCCTCATAGCAAGGGCAAAAACCACAAAAAAAGGTTAAATCATTCCCCAATACTCAATTTAGAAGTAAAAAAAAAAGCTTTTACTTGACATTCCCTTTAATGATGCAACTATGCAACTTCTGCCAGATCAGAGAAATTAATCACATTACTACCGGCTACTCTTTATGGTTCTGCACTGCCCATATTGCTCATTGCTCATTATTAAACAGGACCTTTACTGTGAAAGCAGCTGAAAAAAGACAAGCACAAATCTCCCCTGTGTCCCCTGTGTGAACTTTCAGGGACTTTCCTGAACTTCCCTGATGTTCTTCCCGGAGGCTGGTGTTAAAAACACCCCAGTGAGGGCAGTTTACGTTACCTCATTACTACCAGAATATACAATACTCCTGAACCACCAGCCTAGTCCAGTGTAGTTGTTTGAGGCCTTTTCTTTTGTCCAATGCTATGTACAATGTGCATATGCTGTATATGATAATATCCATGCTTATTCTCTTCTTAATGTATTTTTCCTATTGATGGCTTACATTTACCATTGATTTTGATTATATTCCTGTAATGTGCATTGGAGAGCTCTTTAATAAAATATTTGAACAAGAAATAATAAGCAAAAAAAAAAAGACAAGCAAAAGGCAAAGTACCAGTTATCAGTATTGTCTTCCTGCAGCTGATCTTTTCCCCAATACTGACTCACTATGCCTTGTTCTGTTCTGCATTTTTGTGTGCAAGCAGCCATCTTGGTAAAGAGTAGGCTTAGAATTCTAAAGTCAGACTTGTCTCCTAATCACTGGTTATTTGATGACTGTGGGATAATAAACAACAATTGAGGAAATGGGGGGGGGGGTAGAGAAATCAGAGCTCTAAAGATCAGTTTCTATGCATTGTGTGGTAAGTTTAAAAAAAAGAAGAAAGGCGAATGCCAAGATCAACCAGGTACTTCAGATGGAAGACTTACATGAAAATGATAAAGACTATAATTTATAAAATACACACAAAAAAAAAAAAAAACATTTAGAGTAACATAAGCTTTAAGATACAGAACAGGGGTAAGACACATGTTGGTAATTGCACTGAGATCTTTGAGGAGAAATTCTAGGCAAAAGGTAGATTTTTCATTTTCCTACTTACCGTATTTTCCGGCGTATAAGGCGACTGGGTGTATAAGACGACCCCCTAATTTTCCAGTTAAAACATAGGTTTTGGGCTATACTCGCCGTATAAGACTACGCCCCCTTCTGAGGCAACACCGTTTGAGCATTTTTTCATTGAAATGGTTAACTTACCACTTCAAAATCCTCATGTTCATCCTTTTAGTTCAATGAATGACATCTTTGAATACAAAGCCTGCTCGGATTGGCTGAGTGACATCATCAGCCCACCTCTCTGACTCAGCCAATAGCAGGCTTTGTATTCATTTAGAATACATCACTTTTATCTATACTGTATGTTCAGCTACCGTACATACACGCATTGATTACAGTAATACTGGTACGTTTTGAAACAGCTTGGCTCAGCGCAGTATACTGTATATACCGCACATCCAGTGGGCTGACAGATAATCTGTCATAGGGACATTTGTTTTGAGCCAGCGTGGCTCAGCACGGTAATACTGTATGTACAGTATTACCCCACATCCAGCCAGCTTGACCCAAACAAACTCAAGGTTCACATTTTATACCCCGCGTATAAGACGACCCCCAATTTTCGTGGTGTATTTTTTACGTATAAAAAGTAGTGTTATACGACAGAAAATACTGTAAATATGTTGTATTAATCACTATCTGAGCAAATGTCACTTTTTTTTAGTTCAAGTCCACTTTAAAGCCCAGTGCTATCCTTTACAGTGCTATCCTTACAGACTTATTTTTTTTATATTGTTATTTATTTTAGTATACACCAGGCTCTTGGAAAATAATGCATAATATAATTGATATTTGCTACTATGGCAATTATACTGTCTGTGCTCATTGCATTTTAAACACATAATAGCACATAAGAGAATACGTAGTTATTCTGACTCACAGGTATGGATAGTAGGTGATGCTTCCTTAACACCTCGAATAAAATCAGATTCTTTCATCTGCTTCCAGCCTGACCTTGGAGGTTCTGGGAAGTTGAAGGTTTGAATATTTCCAGTACTTGGTGTAACCTTTATACTGAACTGACAGAATTTATTTAAAATCAAGTCTTTAAATACTTTGAATGCAGTAATTATTTTGTTGCAGTTTTGACTTTTACTTCATTTGCAGAGACAGAAGGGACTACAGGAAGACTCGAACAACTAGCACCAATTAAACAATCTACGCATGAAAACTTGTTTATAAAGGCATTGTACACTTTCAAATGTTCTTTTTGTTTCAACTAGATATTAGTGTAATTCCCTGTGGTTTTTGTTTGCCTTACCTTGTAACCACATGCCCTCTAGAGGATTTACCCCTCTTAATGACCAGGCCTCTTTTTGCTACTCGGCGGTGCACTATTTCAACTGATAATTGCATGGTCATGCAATGCTGTACCCAAATGAAATGTACGTCCTTTTTTTCACACAGAGCTTTCTTTCGGTGGTATTTGATCACCTGTGCACTTTTTATTTTTCGCGCTATAAACAAAAAAGTTTTGAGAGTTTTTTTTTTTTTTTTAAACAATATTTTCTCATTTTTGTCATAAAAAATATCCAAGAAAAAAAAATTTGGGCCAAAATTTATTCTGCTACATGTTTTTGGTTAAAAAAATTATTACTTTGTGTGAAAGTTATAGCATCTACAAACTATGGTATAGATAATGGTACTTACACAGCTTTTATTTTCTGACTGCCCATCACATTCCTTGAGGTGCTAAAATACCAGGATAGTACAAACACCCCCAAATGACCCCTTTTAGGAAAGTAGACACCCTAAGCTATCTGCTGAGAGGCATATTGAGTCCATGGAAGATTCATTTTTTTTCCACAAGTTTCTGGAAAATGACCAAAACGTACTTTTTTTTTTTTTTACACAAAGTTGTCATTTAACCGACTCCTACCCAACATATAAGGTAATAACAGGCGCAAGGCAGTTCTCTCATTCTGGGAGGACGTCATATGACATCCTCCCACTCTAACCGCGCATGCGCAGCTTCGGGGGCACGCAGCGTGGCGATGAGTGGTGCGCTGTGTCCCTCAGACACAGCAGATCACCGATCAACGAAAAGAGCCGAAGATGTCGGCTCGGTCATGTGATCAGCTGTGTCCAATCACAGCTGATCGCATGTAAACAGGGTAATGCCAGTTATCGGCATTTCTCTCCTCACGAGCTGTCACGCTGACAGCTCGTGAGGAGAGCTGGTAAACGGCATCCCTCAGAAGGGACATGTACACTGATCGTCAGGGCACTGATGATCAGTGTACCATGATGATCAGTGTGCCCTGATGATCAGTGTAGCTCCAGCAGTGCCACCTGTCAGTGCCTATCAATGCCAGCTGTCAGTGCTCATCAATGCCACCTTCCAGTTGCACATCAATGCCACATATCAGTGCCTACCAGTACACATCAATGCCACATATCAGTGCTTATCTGAGCTGCCTTTCAGTGTCACCTATCATTGCCAGTCAGTGCCACCTATCAATGCCAGTCAGTGCCACCTATCAGTGCGCATCAGTGCCTCCTATCAGCGCCAGTCGGTGCTGCCTATCAGTGCCACCTAACAGTGCCAGTCAGTGCCACCTATCAGTGTCAGTCAGTGCTGCCTATCAGTGCCAGTCAGTGCCACCTATCAGTGCCACCTATCAGTGCCATATATGAGTGCTGCCTTTCAGTGGCTATCAGTGATGCCTTTCAATGCCCATCAGTGCCACCTACCAGTGTCTCCTCATCAGTGCCACCTATCAGTGCCCATAAGTGCAGCCTATCAGTGCCCATCAGTGCAGCCTCATTAGCGCACATCAGTGAAGGAGAAAAATCACTTATTTACACAATTTTATAACAAAAACTATGAAAAATTTTTTTTTCAAAATTTTCAGTGTTTTTTGGTTTGTTTAGCAAAAAATAAATAACTCAGAGGTCATTAAATACCACCAAAAGAAATCTCTATCTGTCTAAAAAAAAAGATAAAAATTTCATATGGGTACAGTGTTGCATGACCACGCAATTGTCATTCAAAGTGTGACAGCGCTGAAAGCTGAAAATTGGTCTGGACAGGAAGGGGGTATAAGTGCCCGGTAGGCAAGTGGTTAAATCATATATTTCTCAGACAAGCCATGGGTATATGTGGAATTACACCCAAAATTACATTCTGCAACTTCTACCGAGTATGGGGTTACCACATGTGTGAGACTTTTTGGGAGCCTAGCCACATACAGGAGCCTGAAATCCAATGACCACTTTGAAAGCCTGAAGGTGCGTAACTTCCTCATTTCACTTCCTCACTACCTATCACAGTTTCGGAGGCCATGAAATGCCAGGATAACACCAACCTCCCCCCCATGACCCCTTTTTGGAAAGTAGATACCCCAAGGAATTTAAAAAGAGGCATAGTGAGTATTTTGCTGATCTCATTTTTTCTCACAAGGTTTTGAAATGTAAAAAAAGAAAAGAAAAATGTTTTTGTTTTTTTTCTTAATTTTCCAAAAACTTGTGGCAACAACCGAGATCTGCAAAATACTCACCATGCTTGTTATCAAATTTCTTAGGGTTTCCAAAAAGGGGTCATTTGGGGGGGTTTGGTGCTATCCTGGCATTTCAGTGCCTCTAAAACTGTGATAGGTAGTCAGGAAGTGTAATGAGGAAATAAAGCCCTTTAAAAGCCTGAAGGTGCTTATTGGATTTCAGAGTCCTGTACTTGGCTAGACTTCCAAAATGACTCGCACATATTGTGCCACCATACTCGGGAGAAGTAGCAGAATATATTTTGGGGAGTAATTCCACAAATACCCATGACATGTGTGAGCAATAAATCATTTAGTTGACAATATTGTGTAAAAAAGAAAAAAAATGTTTTTGTCATTTTCCAAAAACTTGTGGTAAAAAAAATACATTCTTCTATTAATTCAACATTCCTCTCAGCAAATAGTTTGGGGTGTCTACTTTCCAAAAAGGGGTCGTTTTGGGGGGTGGGGGTTATTTTATGCCCAGCATTATAAGTTTGTGCTACACATCATTCACTCTTCAAACCACCTGAAGACCAAGCCTTTTCTGACACTTTTTGTTCACATGCACAAAATCTGTATTTTTTGATAGGAAATGAATTTAAACCCCCAAAGATTATATATATATTTTAAAGCAGACACCCTAGTGAATAAAAAGGTGGGTGCTGCAATTTTTTAGGTCACATAGTACTCGCGCAGCAATTTTTCAAACGCAATTTTTTGGAAAAAAATACACCTTTTTTACTTTGAATGCACAAAAACATATTGGGCAATTATTTGGTAAACTATAAAAGATGATGAGTAGTGGTGTGAACCTCCTGCGCTAATAATCCTAAAAAATGTCCTGCTAAGAGAAGCTGCTAACATTAAATCATATACCCATGATCTGTGGTTTAAAATAACTATAAAAAATTTAGCGCTACTCACATATATTATATAAATTCAAAATACAAAATATAATATATGCATATACTCATGTGGATAAAAACAAACGACAGACTGTGTGAAATAAACGTGTTCTACAACTGGACCAAAACGTAAAGGTGAATATTAGTCCAGTAAAAACTGATAAATCAATACCACTGCAAACTCAATATAAGATGTATAAACATGCAAAAAACTAGTGCATATAAATATAATATAAAACAAGCACCAAATGTCTACTAGTGCCACAATATATAACAGAGGATATATACCATTAATAAAGTGCAATAAGCATAAATCTCAATAAGTGCCATAAATATATACATCCATCAAACAGAAAATAAAGTGACAAAAATTTGTGCAAATAATGTGCAAACAACACACTAATTGGATCAGACTGAAAAGTCTGATATGTGCCCTAAAGTCCAATACAGTGGATAATACCACTTATTCCAGTACGACACTCGTGCTGATGTAAGTGACTGTGGGTAACTGCTGGTAAAGAAAATCCAACCGACGGCTAGATTAGCCTCTCACCTCAAAACTTCGACCCGTATGGGTCAAAGCATATTGTGGGATCACACCCTCAGATCCTTCTAGCATGCAGCCTCTCCATTGGTCTGCTTTCACCGCACACAGATCTCCCTCTCAGGGGGTCAGCACTTAGATAGTGGCTCCTCTCCAGATAGGGTGGGGGTATGTACCAGTATCAAACTTCAGTTCTGGGTATTTCAGTACACCTAATTTTCACTGTACAGCAACTTTCTTCCCATGCAAGAGGGATGTCCAGCTCAGCTCCTTAATGATAACACAAATGTCCCACTAGCTCTGGAGTCCAACTGTTAGCCACACATTTCCCAATCTGTAAGCACTCAGACTGCAGTAGGCTAACCTTCACGTTTTGGTCCAGTTGTAGAACACTATTATTTGTGGTAGTGTATCTACGTGTCACATCACATGGTGGTATATTGTTTCACAGGCATTTCACTTTTTTGTGGCACTTTTTGTGAATATTTTGTTTCACCATTGTGATTTATTTCACACAGTCTGTCTTTTTGTTTTTATCCACATGAGTGTATGCATATATTATTTTTTGTATTTTGTATTTATATATTATATGTGAGTAGCGCTACATTTTTTATAGTTATATAAAAGATGATGGTATGCTGAGTAAATAGATACCAAACATGACATGCTGTAGCCTCCCTAGCGGTCTGATTATGTCCATATTTCTGGGCTCAAAGCAGTACATTTTTTTGCATGGAAATATGTAGTTTTTTTTATTGTAGGCCTGTCATTTTTAGGAATAACTCACTGAAATCTGTCTGAACAAGAGTCTACAAACTTCCCAGGTATGATAAAATTTGAAACACGAAATCATAAATTATAATTTAATAAATAATCATAAAAAATAATAATATAATAATAATAAAAAAAATTTAATTCAATAATATAATCAAACCAAAAACACTGAAATTTGAAATAGAGCGCCAGTTCGCACATCACTGAGCAAAGTCGCAAAATCGTTTTCAGTGTCTGATGACGAATTTCCCCATGAATCATTATCACTCAATTCTGCAAGTGGTTCTAATTTACTATCGCTGTTCTCTAGCTGGTCTAAAAGCGCTTTTGACCTAAAGGGACGCTTTTTGGAAGCCTTGGACGTTTCTCAGTTTCAAGGCAGAAAGAACAGTAAAAATGCAGGCAGGGCACAGGACAAAGTACTAGGGACAAAATGTATGTGCAATGCTTTGATACAGTAATGTTTTACTATGTGATTTTAGTGAATTTAGTAAATGTCACTTTTAAAATTTTCAAAATTCCCACCAGTTCCGTCCCTGTACATCCTGACGTCGCAGGGAACGGAACCCGGAACACAGATGCCGGCATCGACTGGAGGACATTGCCAAGGACACTGCAGGGGGGACATCGCGGGAGTGCAGGACAAAGTAAGTGAAGAAAAGATCCTGGAGCAACGCTGCAAGGGTATTCCCGAGTGTAGCTCAAGGTTACCGCTTGTGGTGCTGAAACTTTACCCCGAGCTACACTCAGGAATACCTCCAGGGAAGTTAAAACTGCACATGCCCCGTGCAATGACGAAAAATTGCATACGTTTTTAATATCCATAGGCAAAGATTTAAAAGCCTTTACAAGCTACCATTTTAGATTTACAGAGGAGGTCTAGTGTTAGAATTACTACCCTTGATCTGATGTTCACGGCGATACCTCACATGCATGGTGCAACCGCTGTTTACATACCAGCATAGGGTCAACGCTCACACACACAAGTGTGCGCGCGCGGGGGGGCAAGGGTGATTTTTTTTTTTAAGTTATTTTGAGTTTTTTATTATTTTTACACAGTCCCTTTATTTTTTTTTAGCACTTTTAATGCTATCACAGGGAATGCAAATATCCCCTATAACTTCAATGGGCATTGTCATATATTCTTTTTTGAAAAATCTGGGGTCTATCAGACTCTAGATATCTCCTCTGCCCTTACATTATCTAATCAAACCAAGATCAGTGTGATCAGAATCTTTCCCAATTTATAAATGACGCTGTTTATATCTTGCGAAACGGAAGTGATGAAATGCTCGTAGCTTCCGATTTCTTAGGCTATAGCAGTGTTTCTCAACTTCAGTCCTCATGGACCCCCAACAGGTCATTTTTTCAGGATTTCCCTCAGATGAAACAGCTGTGGTAATTACTAAGGCAGTGAAACTGATCAAATCACCTGTGCAAAATAATGGAAATCCTGAAAACATGACCTGTTGGGGGTCCATGAGGACTGGAGTTGAGAAACACTGGGCTATAGAGATGATTGGCACCATTCTGGTCTCCAGTCAGCTCTATGGTCAGCTGGCAGAAACACTGGCTGCATTCTCAGGTTCCCCCAATGGCACGGGACTGCCCGAGAAGGCTGTGGAAGGCAGCAGGGAAGGGGGTGCATCATCTCCCGCTGCTTGTAAAAGCAATCCTGCAGCTAATTAGCCACTAGGATTGCTTTTACATGAAAGCCAATTGCCAGCTGAAAACAATGATACCAGGATGATGCCTGCAGCTGTAACCATTCAAAATCCAGTGATGTACCAGCGCATCGCTGGTCCTTGCTGGGTATATATGCTTTGTTCTTTTTTTTTATGCAGCCTGTGTGCTGAATGAAAAAAAGAGAAGAAATCTCTGCCAGAAAAAGTATGTGGTATGCCCACCATTAGAATATACCG